GAAATATTCATTAGGCGAGGAATTTTTCAAGGAGACTCCTTGAGTCCTCTCTGGTTCTGCCTAGCCCTGAACCCATTATCCAACATGTTAAACACGCAATACGGCTACAATATCAGACACGAAAAAACAACACAGTTTACGCTGTCACATCTCATGTACATGCACGGACGACATAAAAATTTATGCATCCACACAAAAACAACTTCATCAACTCCTACAAATCACACATTCATTCACTAAGGACATACAAATAAAGTATGGCCTAGACAAATGCAAAACACTTCACATAGAAAAAGGAATCCTGAAGAAAGAAGATTTTGCACTTGGAAATGGAGACGTTGTAGAATTCACCCTCTTCCATAGATTCAATAAGTATTTAGGATTCCAACAGGCCAAACTAACAGAATATACACAAATAAAGCAAAGATTAATTAAAGAATTCCAAAGTAGGTTAAACGCTATCCTCAGAACACAGTTAAATGCAAAACACACAGTTAAAGCAATAAACACGTATGTCATCCCAGTACTCACATACTCTTTTGGAGTTATACATTGGACTCGCACAGATCTCGAGCAACTCCAAAGGAAAACAAGAACAACGCTTACTAAGCATAAACATCATCATCCTAAATCCGTCACAGAAAGATTAACCCTTCCACGTAAAGAAGGCGGACATGGCCTGACTCACATAGTTAACCTTCACTACAAACAAATACAGTCACTGTGAGAGTTTTTCTACAGGAAACAAGAAACATCGCAATTACATAAAGCAGTAACCCTAACAGACTCAAATACCACACCATTAAACTTACACTCGCATCATACAGACATGACACAACATATAAAAAGCATAGACACCATCAAGCAATCGTGGGCTCAAAAGGCACTCCACAGCAGGCATCCTTATGATCTGGCCCAGGATTTTGTTGACAAAACTGCGTCAAACAGCTGGTTAGATCGGGGATGCCTCTTTGGGGAGACGGAAGGATTCATGATTGCCATACAGGATCAGGTCATAAATACTAAAAACTACAGAAAACACATACTCAAAGATACAACACTCACAAATGACACATGCAGAAAATGTCACATCATGCCAGAAACTATACAACACATCACTTCTGGTTGCAAGCTCTTGGCACAGACAGATTACTTACATAGACACAATCAAGTAGCAAATATAATACACCAAGAGCTTGCAAAGAAACACAAATTGGCAGACATCCACGAACCATACTACAAGTATATTCCACAGACAGTATTGGAAAACAACACGCACAAAATGTACTACGACAGAGCCATAATCACAGATAAAACAATTTACCACAACAGACCAGACATCACACTCATTGACAAACACAATAAAATCACATACATTATAGACATAGCCATTCCAAACACTCACAATGTACAAAACACATGCACTGAAAAAATTAGCAAGTACACAGAACTCGCCCAGGAAATAAGGCATCTGTGGAGGATGGATAGGGTGCTTATTGTACCTGTTGTTCTCTCCTGTACAGGTGTGATACCACACACACTACACAAAAGCCTGGGAACATTACAATTGAGTAGAAATACATACATCACACTACAGAAGGCCACTATATTGAATATATGCCGCATTGTTAGGAAATTCCTGAATACAGACACACATGCTGACACACTTATTTAATTTTAGTTTTGTTTTGGTTGCTATGCCTTGACTTTGGTTCGGCATAGTACACAGCCATCGGTGTGAACCGAGTATAACTCACAAAACCCAACATAATAATAATAATAATTTTATTTGTAATTTTATTTGCAAAATTAAATAAATTATTATTTTTAATGTAAATGAGACAATGTCCACATCAAACATCTTTTTAAATATTTGAAAGATTGGAATGAAGCAAAGTTTGAATGATAGAAATTTTCGAAAGATAGAACTGTTTTTATGTATTCCTGATGATGGCCTCTAAATAATGGCTGAAAACGTTTTAGCAGTAAATTTTTTGTTTGTTTGCTGGAAAACTCATTTAGGTGTTGGTTATTTTATCATACAGTTCCAGTTTATAAGTGTGTCATAAAAGCTGACTAAAAATGAACAAAACAATAATATTGTTAACTACACCAACATTTTAGATATGTTACATTGTTTATTTTTTTAATCAAAATTGGTTAATAATTAAACTGTTTCAAATTATAATATGAAATATACCAAATTTATTTTTTATGTAAACTGTAAAAAATTAAATTGTAATTGCAAGTACTTTTTTGTTATATATTCCACACAGAATTTTTGTGTTTTTTATGATCTTCACAAGTTGACTCTTGATAACTCAGTGGAAGAGACAGAGAAAATTATAAAGTTATGGAAATTATCATTACTTTAATGAGATGATAAACATCATATGTACAATGTAGTTAGACTTAAATATGATACGTTTTTTAAAAGTAATTTTTAGGTATTACATATTATAAATATTTACAAAAACATTCATACTATTAATGAAAGAATACTGTTGTGTAGATTTGACATTGACATCCCCTTGTTTCATGCTTAACTGCCTGAAGGCAGTTGCTGTAGCATTTGCTTTTGTGTTATGCCTCTAAAAAACTGATAACAGCTTAAGGA